GAGAAAACTCATCTTCGGTTGTATTACCAGTTACATGACACGCATATGTTTTCCTGGCGTGGAAAGAGAGACAGCACATTGAAATGTTAGAATGCTGATCATTCAAAGATGTGCGGCTTGGATATCAATGGTTGCCATGTGATGGAGCCAGACATGGTGGCACGCTGGCATCGTCAATGCCAATTATTACCATGACTTCGATGGACGAAAGAGACTACCCTGAGATGTGTTTATGCACATTTACGGCAAATAGATTTATGTCCATACAAGATGAGTGTGTTGAGTGTTAATGGGGCTTGGGTTGTGTGATAACTTAACGCTAGTCATTCCGTCTGCAGACTAAATAAGTTACAGTGCCATGTAACATTGATAGCGGCCACTTCGGTTGGCTTGGCTAGTTTCAAACACGTCTCGTCTTCCCCTACGCTTGGACGCTTGGCCGCGTCTTGTAATTTCCCGCCAAACAGTGAAAACATTCCCGCCAAGTATAGTATAGACGCGGAATCAGCAAATTGGCTGCAATCGCCCACAGCCCACGGCGTGGATTCATTGACCCTTTTTAAACCTGGCTCCCATGTCGTAGCAGATGCCTCAGATTCTGCACGCTGATTGGACTTGTTATAAAAGCATCATCGGGTTTCCACCTTTAACCCAGATTGCTAAAAGAAGCTCCCTGTTTTTCCACGTCCCTCGCTGTTGTCCGTCCGCCCATCCCCATCACCAGGCATCAGTTTCCACACAGTTTCAAGCGCGGGCAAGTATTCAAAGCACCCGCTGCTCTTACCCTTGTTTTGTTAGCGTATGCATCCCGAGCATTCCTCATTACTGCTGCCTGAGGGCTCCAATTTGTGGCCTTCTGTCCCACTCTTCCCCTCTCTCAGGATCCTCCTCTTCTCATTTGCAATCGTGCGCAAATCATGGACAAACACTTTGCTTCCGTCTGACGGAAACCAGTCTCCATCATCTCCCAATCAACCCCGCGTTCGTTTGGGGTATTACCTCTCCCGCTCAATCGACAGACCTAATTAACCTTAGAAGAAATTAAAAAAAAAAAATCCCTCAAAATTGCAATTTTGCGGAGAGTGGTTTCGGAGTTTCGCTACCTCTCACCGAATTTCATTTGTACAAATTGAAGACATTCAAACCAGTCGGTCGGCCGCGGGGAATATCCCGTCAAACATCGTTAAATCTCGTTTACTCCTGTTCATCATCCTAAATTGCCTTTCCTGCGGGCGCTGCTCGGCCAATATTTTCGGCGCGGTAGAAAGTTTAATACAATTACCCTCATGTTTTTCGCGTTGAACGGACTCGTCAATTTCGCTAAGGTGCCCTAGATTGGTTATATATATAGTCATTCAGTGCTTTAATAAAGGACTGAGATTGAATACTCCTGTAATGTTTTTGCCGAATCAAGAAATATGCTCTCTGTAATTTCACATGTATTAGCAATCTAACTTCAGACGTCGTGCACTATCAATCCATTGGTGGCAGGTCATAGGATATAGTTTAGATTAGGCATACACATATAAAGCAAGGCTAGCAAATAACCAGGATAAAGTGAACTCAGATACCACTGATTACTATTTATGAATACTAACCTTTATGATTCGCCTGTTCAGGTGACACTGAGCATTAATCTTGAAGTTTAATTTTGTGGAAATACCTGCTCCACCTTACAGTTCTTTGATCCTATCTTATGGTTTGTTAAATTACTTATTTTTTTGCAAAATATAAGGAGCCACGTATGTTTGCTTTGCTCATAGAAATTCACAAAGAGCATAAAATTAGAAAGGCCGTAAAACACCAATTACAATTGGTGATCCGAAGACGGAAAGTCTAAGGTAAATGGGACTCCTTGCACTTTAAGAATTTTGGCCGAAAAGAAATTCGTTTCACGGCTCTTTAAAACAAAGCAGTCGTGCAATCGATGTCACGCAGTTCACTTCATTCTCACTGGGGATACAACCAGAAAGTACATGTATCACGCGTATAACAATTAACAACGCGCGCGCGGGCCTGTACACCTTATAGAGTGGCTTACAAGTGCCTATCTTGACCGTTCCAATTTCCATTGCATCTGGGAGTTCTCTAATTGGCAATTCGCACACCTGCCGGAATTGCGTCTTCGCTGAGGGTAGTGGGACGGCCTTGCCCCACTTAAACTGCACTGGTGTAGCTTCACTGACAGGGGTGTAGACCACGAGGGTGTCTTTGAGGTCCATGAAGGGTGCTCCAAGAATCTACTCCCATTCTGCCATTGAACTTCTTAAAGGACACTCAACCGTCGTCTTGCTTCCTCCCTCTCTCACTGTCTCTTTCTGCCTCATTTCGGCTGAGTGTTTCGCTCGAGCCTCCTCGCTGGAATCAGACACGAAGCTGAACGAGGTCCTGCGCTCAACAGTTCTTACAATTATCGTCATTTAACACCGGTGGGAAATTACACCCAGCAGAAAATGAAATTCTACCAACCGATCTGCCGATGAGCCACCTTGGGAGTGAGACGATGCCACCGAAGAGATTGCAGTGGCTACTATATTCATCTTCATCGACTTGTCGTATGGGGTCACCATTGACGTAGGTTACATTTAGCGCGCGAAGCTGTTGACTGGTGTAATGACACCAAAAATCCCATCCCCTGGATTTTTTGTTAATTTGATCATTCACGGCACAGACACCAGATAATCATTTAAAAGCGTGAAAAGTGACGAGTAGATTGCTTTCGTACTGCACTGCGCAGAGTAAGACCGAAGTGTTGTACCTTTGAAGAACTTTGAGAGTTGTTTCAGTGATGACTTGGTTTACAATCTAATGTTCTGTTTTAGTGTGTGGTTGGTTCAACAGTGTCTGTTATTTTGAAATGCGCTTAAATTCTACCTTGGTTGAGTTTTTAATGAATGCTGGGACCAACCGATTTTCGGAGTGGGGTCTGCATTCATACTGACTGTAATGCCCATAGACACATGATAACTTTTAAGGTTTCATAAAAGGTATGCATGCTCTTAATTAAATTGTACGTGGCCGGCCGACATGTGTCGGCGATAGACTGAAAAATCCATACAAAATGTTCGCCAACGGCAACAATGTTAATTTTTGTCAGTCCGGGAAAAGACGTTTGTGAAACCACTATTGGAATTCCTTGTTTTTCAGTACATGCTCTAATCGCTCAGCACCGATATCGGAAAGTAGCAGCAGTTGGCCGGGTGCAAAAACAACCGAACAGGAGTTACTGTTACAGGACAAACTAATCTTGCGTTCTCCAGCAGCCGAAATGAACGTGGATAAAAATAATAAATAACACATGACGCGCTCGCGCGATGGTTGCAAGCTAAAATGTCACTCCTTGCTCGAAGGCAAAAATCACGTTAGTAGCCCAAGTTGTCGAGTTTGAAATTAATGCTCCCAGACATTTGACCTTTGAACGGGCGTTCCTTCCTCACTAATTGAGTGCGTTTTGCACCTGCCGATTCCAGACGCTGACTGCACAGAAATGTTCGGTTTATCGTTCACATTGAGTAACCAAAAGTAACAAAAAAATAAAAGATTCACGATGAAAATGATTGCCTCCTTTCATGACAATCGAATAAACAGTAACTTCCATACGGTAATTCAGTGCTGTTTTCTGAAGTAAACACTTCATTTTAATCTTTAAAGGTTACTTCTTCTTCGTACCCTGATCCGTAATATCTCTCTTTTAAAGTGTTTGGAAAGCAACTCAGCGATAACTGATTGAATCATGTCACCGAAAACAACGGAGCTGAACTCTCAATGTTCTTTACGCACAAAGTATGCGCCCTGCCAAAATCGATTAAGAGCGTTAAGTTCAAGGTCATGTGATGGGTAAGCGTTGAAATGAACCCATCGCGAGCTCAAGACCCCGTATTAGCAGAGACGTTCAGTCAAGGCAAAATAACACCAATCAATTATCGTACAAGCGTACATGCATTGTGAACAGAATTGCACGACACGTCAATTCTAGTCCTTTTGTCTGTTTTTTGCTCACTCATTTGGCTCGTCTATAATGGAAGCTTTTTTATTTCTTAAGTTGGTATTGAAGCAATACGCATGGATGCATGCTAAGCAAGCAACAATTTCGCTTAAGTCAGCCACAGAGGAAAGGAGATGAGCACTCGTGTAAAAAAACAACGCGTCCTTCACAAAAAAATCAATATAATATCACCCTTAGATGGGCTGACATGTATCGACTGGAGAAAGAATTACACGTTGGAAAATCAAAGGTTGTCAGGGTAATGAAGTCAGACATAAAATATTGCTTGAGAGCTGTGTTTTTTTTCGTTTAAAAATTGGGCTTGAAAAGATGTCGTTTGAGAATGTCGATCGATGAAAGTGTCATGTCATGTCGGCAAGTTCGGTACGCGGGCGTGAAGATAATTATTCAAAAGGTCAATATACGGTATACGAACAGAAGGAGATAGGGTCGGTAACGCAGAAGATAATTGAAAGAAAGGGTATTACTTGCGATTCTACGGATGCCACTGACTGTAAAATACTCTCCAACATTCGTCTTAATTTATTCTTAGTGGAGAAAAAAGTTGAGACCAACACTATATTAAATCAAGATTGGAATAATACGTTAGACTTTAATTTCAAATTTTTCTCCCTGGATATTTCTGTTTAAACTGGGCCCGCAGAACTTTTTTTCGGAAGAGAAGTGTTTTCTAAACGATAAATTTCAAACAGTGTGACCACACCATTACGATTCACATCGCTAATAAAGCTTATCTTACAAGTTACCGAAAACGCCGAAAATATTGTAAAAATGAGGGGGATGTATTTACTGTCACGTGAATGAAATTTGTGAAACACAGTCACCCGAAAATACCGTGATTCCCGGACTCCCATTGGGCGGCGTCACCTTCATATTCATGAGCGTCTGACGTCAGTGCATTTTCCCGCCAATGATGGCGCAAGCCGTGGCTGGGCCGCGGCGATAAACGCTGAGCGATTCGGCGCGATGCGATCATTCCACTCAAAAGAGCGGAGGGCGCTTGTTTGGACTTTCGTCAGCGACGTCAGACGAACCGTGTCAGCATCAGCCAGGGTGAGCTGTCTTGTGTTCGGATTGCACTTGGTGATATGCAGCGGCACCAAGCAACAGACGTACATGGAGTTGATCGAGTACAATTTTGAGGCGTGCTGTAGATGACTGCAAATTCAGGACTGCGCTTTGATGTGACTTTACGATACTGCGGGGTTACCAAAGCATCGCTTCTCGGGTACTTCACTGCAGTAGCAGAACGTGCTGGTTAAAAACGGAAGCTCCATAGTGAACGACCTGCAGATTAATCAATATAAAGTGGGTATCTGAACATCATAGCTGCCACACCGTTGCGCGGTTAGAATGCTCGTATCGGCCTCGCAGACTATGGAGACAACGACTTTCTTCCACAGGAGCCTCGCCAATGCAACTAAGGAACTCCTGGCCAGTGTCACGGATGCCCCGTCGGACCTGGAGTCCTTGGACCAACCCGGGTGTGACTTCGTCTTAAATTTATCCTCTGGTGCGGACTTGGAGTTCTTCTTATATAGTCAGATTGATATCTTCTTCCTGACGGTGTTTCTACCTATCGTAATGGTGGTAGGGGTCCTAGACAATGCAGCTTTCATATACGTGGTTCTCCGAATTCCCCGTATGCATACCGTGACTAACTGCTACCTAGTGGGCCTATCCGTCGCCGACATTATATTCCTAGTGTTCGCCATCGGCAGCAGACTCTGGTGCTACGTCAGGTCTCCCATCGTCGGGGACGACAACCCGCTGGGACTGGCCGGCTGCCGGCTCAACCAGTTCATGGTCAACACCTCCTACTTCGCCTCACTGTTCTTCATCACCCTGGTGTCCTGGGAGCGGTTTAACGGCGTGTGTCGCCCCCACAAGCGAAGGGATAGCAAGCTCATGGTCCTGGCCAGCGTGGTCCTCTCCACGACTGTCTCTGGCATCTTGGCCGCGTCGCTTCTAGTCAGCTACGGCGTGGAGTCGTACGATTGTATCACTTGGCCCTCGTCTCCCAAGTACACCGACTGGCCCGACAGGCGAATGTTTTGCGGTGTGGCCTTCCCCTGGGCGGACAAGTTCACCTACGCGACGCAGACTGTCCCGTTCTTTGTCTCCCTGATCGCCAACACCTTTCTTTACTATAGAATCATCCATGGCTTAGACCAGTCGATCCGTCGGACACAGCAGTCCAACCATCGCAAAAGCAGAGACTCGTCCACGCGCAACCAGGTCGCCCGGATGCTTGTCATCAACGGGGTAGCTCTCTTTGCCCTCCTGGCCCCCTTCGAGATCATGTCCCTCTTCAGCCTGATCGCAATGTTCCGTGAGGGCGAGTTCATCCTGGACTTAGACGTCCGTCAGGTCGTGGTTTACATCGCACGGGTCCTCTCCTATCTCAACTCCATCGTCAACCCCATCATATACACGGTGTTCAGTAGTCGGTACAGGGAGGCCTTCCAGATCGCCTTCCTGCCGGCCAAGTGCCGGCCCCGGCCTAAGAGCTCGGAGAACTCTCAACCTGGGAGCACTGGACGCAGCGGCACCATGACCACACGAGCCCAAGAGTCTCGCATATGAGCAGGGCTCCAAGACTGGTACAGTTGATTTGCAGTTCGAACGCCGCTCTATTCAACTGACAATCTGCCCGATGCATAATGGCAATGTTAGGCCAGGCTCTTTGCACTCGTAAGTTGTACCTTAGAAAACATCCTTGCATGACTTTCCACATCTTGTCTTTATCATGTTATTCAGTATATTCACTATGACAAAATAGATTAGTACGACTGAAGACTGTAGCTAAATTTAGCTCAAACTTTAACGTATGTTAAAATTGTTATTCTTAATACGTTCCAAATCTTATCAAGAACGAATATCTTTGTCTGACTTTCTCCAAGATAGCTTGCCCCGCAAGCTAGCATTTGACACTTTTTTGTTCAAAACATTTTCTTTTGTGGATATGGATCGATAGAATTTAAGTATTGTAACCTCGAAAAAAAAATCGCACGTGGAAAAATGCTTGGCACTGTTTTACACACATTAAACACAACGTCACTGTATTTTTATAACTGAATAATTATGGGACCAAGAAAACTAATGTTTATTCTTCGTCCGTTGGGTACAAAAATGTCCTTCACACGGTTCTGTAAAATCTTCCTGAAAATTTCAAAGTTTCGATCACGAGTGGGAAAAAAATCGAATTTAATGCTCCACCACTGCTAAGCAACTGAAAGCATATTACTATCACAAAGTAAGATAGAATGCTCCTGTTAATACTGACAGGTTTATACTGATAATCATCTCCAGTTCGTTTTACGTGGTATTGGATACATAGTCGGTAGGCATGCCCGTCCAAAATGATGGTAAATATTTGGCTATCGTGCTACGTGCAAAGAGCACAACATGTAACATCTTCATCTGATATATTGAGGTTAAAGATAGTCCGGCATCGCAACTGCATGTGCAGATAGGAGATATTGCGTCCAATCAGTAGGCCTATACCTCCACGCACACAGAAAGATTTATATCAGAATTTATATGCTGGATAAAAATTTATTAATTGACGTGACGGTCGCACATTTTTTTTAAACTCTGAAACTCGTTCGACTTAGGTTAACCTATTTCATTCAGTCACTGTGGCATTTAGTGGAATTGCTCAGTAGCAGTTCCTTGAGCCCGTACGCTGACTTTCTATTTGGACGGCAAAGCCCCCTCAAGTTGTTTGTTTGTTGTTAGGTATTACAGGTCATTGACCTCAACACAAGGCATGGTTACGCCAATGGGGGATTTTTCGAAATTTCCAAGTTAAGGAAGAGTCACAGTTTAGGTGCAACATTGTCAAGAGTTCCGCCTGAAACCGTGCGATAGGCCTATCTAGCTATCCAGAGATAAAAAAAAATAGCATTTTATTCAGCATCTCTTCTCTGTATCCCAGCGCCGAAGCCAATCTGCTTACACTCTCGCCTTCTAATGGGATCTGACTTCGTGTCCATATCCCGTTCAACGCACTCACATCTTGCACCGACAAACAAGGCCTAATCTGATCAACAAGGCCTTAACGGCGTCTTATCTCACATGATTAAGTAAAGCAATCAACCTATACGACTAATATGGAATAATGAATTAGATTTGCGATCTTCCAAAGCAGGAATTTTCTTACAAGAGAAAAGACGGCATAAAGCTCTAGGGGCCCAGTTTTTCGAAGAGGCATTTGTTCGTTTCTCTTGGGAAAAAAAGAAACCTCCCAATGGGATACTCCCTTTAATATGACGCGTAATTGGGTGACTAAACGCCAATTAGTCTGGTGCCCTGTGGGCAAGACAGTATCGCGTAGCTGAAACGTCTCATGGATTGGCATCGTCGTTTAGTTTGGCTTAGGCCTAAGCCGTGGAGGTGGTACGTGTTTAAGCCTTTATAGTGTGGGGTGCAATGACGACAATGAACAAGACACATTTGCCGCAGTCAGATCAGGATGGTCCAAAATGGACTTCGGATAGAGATGTTCAAATCCGATCGGAAATGGTTGGCAATGCCGTGTAATTGGAAGGGTTATTTTGCGTCATTTCATACAACTTCGCATACATTAACTTACTATATATTCATGTTATCGAACGTCCTCTCTTAAGTTTTAGTACTGCTTTTCGACCTGGCACTGCAGTGTCGACACGAAATTGGCCCACTTTCGGCCTGCAGTTGGCCCATTGTCGACGTTGAGTTTAGCCAACGTCAAGGTGGGAGTTGGCCTTTTGCCAACCGGTGTCGATCTATACAGTACAGTCGGCCCGATCGAGTTCGAACTAAAAGTGTCCGTTTTCACCCTGAACGTTCTCTATCCTGTCAGGGTTATGACTAGAATCAAAACATTAAGTTTACTCTATTCAGATTGATCGAAACCTCCAGTTCCAAAAACACAAATTATCCAGTCCCAATGTTCAAGAACACGTTAGTTTTGACAGAGGTTTAGAAGATATTCGAGCTGAAAAAGTACCAATATCAAAAAGTTGATTGCTTTACCACTGATGTAAGCTATCGTTATCACTCCATTCCCATGTTTACTTTATTTGACATCAAGCTGTCGTACAAGTATAAACTCCTGCGACAAACGTGTCGCCATTTATCGTAGTCCATGTTTACGGAACGGTAGCGCCAATTCGGGCGTATACATTACCGCAACGTGAAGACGGGTGTAAATTGACGCCTTGGCTCCCGTCGTTTGTGAATTTTACCATCTCGAGTCAAGAATTAGTCAAGATTGATCAGTACCGCCTGGTGAAATACACTGAAAGCAGTCCCATACTGGTTTTTAAAATTAATCACGAGCGATCAGACATCTAGGTGAATTGTAGAATGATTGCCCTTTTTCTCCCTCGTGCACAGGGTAATATCTCGCGAAATGGGGCGTCGTTTGTTAAGGCTGTCGCTATGCCAACCCCGACTGGGACGATTGCTTTGGCGGGATGCCGTTTAACGACCATTATCATGTCCGTTAATTGGAAAACAACGCCGCTCTCGGCTCCTGTCCCTAAATGATCGGCCCGAAATGGGTCGTGAGACTGTAATTCACCCGACGACGCGTGCTTGCGACGCTCTCTGCCTTGATCAAGCCCCGTGACTCGCCGATCACAATTTGCCTACCGTAATAGCTGGATTCCCATGAAATAAAAACCCATAAACCGCCGCAATATTCGCGCTGTCAGGCAGCCGAATTAACGTGATATATCGGATGGGCTGGACAATATTCTGCAAGGCTGCTCTAATTGTCCGAAATCCAATCAATTTTACCTTGTCTCATTTTCTGCCCCAGAAGTGGGAATTGACACTTCCATGTAGTTTTACAAAAACGGCAATGCTGGGTCACATAGGCCTTCTTTTATTAACGTTTTCCCATGCACTCTTCTTTGCTATGAATGTCAACAGACATTTCATGTTGTAATCGGGTTGCCTCGCCTTTGACATGATTAAAAAAAGAAGAAAACGCAAGTGTGTTTTAAAACTTCTAACGATGATGTAATCAGTAAGGAACAATGCCATAAATATTTGAAATAGATTATTCTGGGTATTTGTAAAACCCTGTATCTAATCCAGCACAAGTCGGTTTATCGTAGATTTCTCTTCGTGTAATCGTCCACGCACGCGTGCGTACGTCACCTCGTCGACACACGCGGTACACCAGATCATAATCTCGCAATGCACACCTGTGAGAGTACTAATGGTGCTGCAAACATATCCGAATAGTTTCCGGATGCATATGGGACGGATGACGGAGAGGCTTACTTCGGTATCTTATATTCTAGAACATTACCAACCGAGTAAGCTGCTATCCTACATGGGTTGACCTATAAATACCTACGGTATTGGTTGACTTATACTATAATCCTTTAGCACGAATCTCCCGCTGGTGTCCATGACAAAATTGCGATGATGACATTTTTTAGCCCATTCGTTTATTTTAGATTTTCGCTTTGGTCATGTTATCAGAAGGAAAAGGCCCATCATTCTGACAGACTGGAATGTTTTATCATGATGACGAGAGATAACATTCCAGATTTTAATAATCTGTGTCAAGCATCCGTTTCCAGCACTGAGAATGTACATGATCGCTGAGGAACAGCTCAGTAGCATGCATGAAAATATGTACGCGGGGGACGCCAGATTGGAAAAAAAACGGTCTTGTGTTTTTGGTTATTTTAGTTCGGCATGTACGTAACGTCTGATTATTCAGTGGTTCATCGTTCTTTAGTATGCTATTCGGTAACCAGTCATCTACTGAACATACCTCATAAAATTGGAACATAATACACCACTTCGGGGTGTCTCCAAAGCGCAGGCATGCATTTCCCCCTTGGATCAGCTGATTTACTCGTTTTTGCCAAAAACACTGAACAAAGTCTTGTAAAGTTTGGTATTACCTCTTTTCCCATGATATAGCAATGTAAAAACTGACTGCACCCCATGCACCTGAGCACTAGCACATTTTTGTCCCAAAATCATGAAAACTTGAGGCTCTGACAGGAAACTGAGGCAGTTGAGGTTGTATTTGCAACAACACAAAAGTGAAGCTCAAGTGCGTGAGGTGTTAGGAGGTTGCCAGTTATGTATGGTGTACTCGAACCACCCGGGGTGACAGTCGGCTTAACCTCAGGCGTGTGTTTTACCCAACGTTGACACTTCACGTGCATGAACATGTTCGATTCACGTGCATGACATGGAGTCACTTTTTACAGTGAGTTGCTTGCCTGAAAGCGGTAATATTTGCTAAATTAGGTCTTCAACTTTAAGCTGCGTTCCCATAATAGTTCTGGCCTGTTTTTACCTCACGTCCCCCGTCTCGTCTTTCCAAGCCCTCTTGCCCGCCAGATATATCACTGCCATTTGGCGGAACGAATATAATATCGTCGGGAATCGATCGCAAGATGACCGCAGCCACGCTCAGTTTCGGCTCCGTAAGTGGTGTATAACGCGGAAATCTGGAATTGCTGTCAACATCACGATCTGTCTCTGTTTGCAAATCATTTATCCCATACATCATTCTACACAGGGAGGGGTCGTTGTACAATATGCATTTCCTGAGACATTCACGTCTTCGTGACGTCCCTATCATCGTCTCAGTGGGTCAAGCCTTTTTTTTCCGCGGACGGAACTGTGTTTAGCTTGGAATTAACTAGAGCATTGCCCGCACCATCTGTATTTGCCTCTCCAAACTAGGTCTACATGTGGCAATTTAGGAGACGACAAATTGGACTCTGAGCGATCTGCTGATGGCAAGACGTTAGGGCCGGTTGTCGTGCTTAACTGCTTAAAGTCTTATGTCCTGTGTGGTCTTGTTCTTGTTTCCTTGCAGGTATAACTCTGTTTGGTAATTTTTTAAGCCACACTAGGCCAATATTACCCAGTCGGTGGTAAATTAGTTGGCGCGCACACAATTTTGGATCGAGGTTGCATTTAATTTGCTTGGTAACGGAGAATCTACCAATGATTGACAGTGCGGAGCAATTTGGGACACGCTTTCATCACAGATTTACGACTGCCTTATCTGCGCTGCAGTTGCAGGTATAATACGAGAAAAAATTGGGTAAAGTGCAAAGAACCATATTTGCCAGTCTTCTGAAGGAGCACGGTACATTTAATGCCTAATA